TTTGCATATTAAGTGAGAAGTGAGCAACAGAGGGGAGAAAAAAATGGATCGTAAAAAAAAATAAATCTATATTTTTACATGATATTTTTAGTAAATATATAAATATAGATTGTTTTACTGATTGTAGAATATTCTACTTTTTGGATTTTTTTTTCACATGCATTTCACACTGAGGCATGGTTGATTTTGAATTATATGAGCAGATGATAACAAAAGATAATACAAGATTTTTCTATTTCCAAATGTCCATGGAGCATGAAGCATGGGATTACCAAAAAGGTTATTAGAATTGTCAGCAAGAATATTGTATGAATTGCATTGACTCTGTAATGCTTGCACACCCACTATGGTGGTGTATATATAAAATGTATTATTTGTGTAAGAGGAACACAATGAGACACGGGACATCAAAGGCAGAGTGTCTCCACACTCCTAATGTCTAGCATGTACTATCAGCTGTTTAACATCAAATTTAAAGGACCACCATAGGCACCCAGACCACTTCAGCTCAATGAAGTGGTCTGGGTGCCAGGTCCATCTCGGGTTAACCTTGCCTGCTGTAAACATAGCAGTTTACATAGGGTTAATCCAGCCTCTAGTGGCTGTCTCATTGACAGCCGCTAGAGGCGCTTCCGCGCTTCTCACTGTGAAAATCACAGTGAGAATACGCTGGACGTCCATAGGAAAGCATTGAGAATGCTTTCCTATGGACTGACTGAATGCGCGCTCAGAAGAGGGAGGAGAGTCCCCAGCGTTGAGGGAGCCCGGTGCTGGAGAAAGGTAAGTGATTTAATCCCTTCCTCCCCCTAGAGCACGGCGGGACGGGGGCCATGAGGGTGGAGGGGAGGGTGAGACCTATTAACATTATAGTGCCAGGAAAATGAGTTTGTTTTCATGGCACTATAGTGGTCCTTTCACATCAGTGATATTGTAAAAACTGTCTTTTTATTTACAAAGCAAAAAGAACAAATCTGTTTTATAAGAAAATCCTGGAAAGTCTGACTGCGTTATATTTTGATGTGACACAGAATATGCATGTACATGATACAAGTCAAGCCTATTTTACCAGAAGAAAGAAGAATATACATATGAATAAGTATCGAGTAGTAGTGTTATGTTGCATTTTAATCTTTCTACACTGCTCCTCTTTTTTTTTTGACAATCGTTATTTTGAAGATGTTTGTGACATAGAGTAAGAAAATAAACAATTCAGTGTAGAGCAAAAACGTGACAGAGCAATAATATTACATTCTTCATGCTAGGATGATAACAAGCTTACTCTAGTACGTGGGTTTATAAAGAGTTCTGGAGACTTTACTGCTATGCCACTGAGCTTGCCAACATGTGTCTCGATGAATCCATGTCTATATTTCTCCCTTCTCCCAATGCTATGACTCAGTGCTTTAAGGCACGTGACTGCTGGATGACCTAACAATATTTGGTTAATGGTTAGTAATTGAGATAAGGTCTCTCTAATGTGCAGCTGTGGAGGAAGGGACATAAGTCGTTCAGTTAAGGGTCAATAGTTGTGATATAAAAATCAAGCCACGGTATCCAAGTCTGCGTGCACCTGTCTGTGGTACCTTTACGTGTCGCAGTCAGGGATTCCATAGCTTAATTCTGCTCTACCTTCGCTATCCATTGTTGGAGAGATGGTACCCGATCTCCTGGTCCTTGTATCTCTTCTTTGGTGCTCCTCTGTCACAGTGAACAGTGGCGAGTTTACCATACAGCACAACCTTAGGTAGATGATGATCTGCCATCCTGGAGACATGCCCCGCACAGCTTGGACTTCAAAAGCATTGCCTTGATGCTGGTGGTCTCTGCCTGTTTGAGAACTTCGATGTTGGTGATTAAGTCATTCCAATGAATGTTAAGGATTGTGCTGAGGCAGCGCTTGTGAAAGTAGGTGTGGCTGTAGGTAGCCCATGACTCAGAACTGTACAGGAGTCTTCAGTTCAACAGCTCTGAACAAACTGATCTTTGTGCCTCTCTTTGGATACTTGTTGTTCCAGACTCTCTTATACAGTCTGCTGAATGCTCTGTTTGACTTTGCCAGTCTGCTATCTATCTCTTTGTTGATTTTGGCTGTTAAAATTAAAAGTCAGCCTGAAAAAGACCAAAGTTCTCCACCAGCCTGTATCTCATGAAGATTACCATGACCCCGCATCACCACTGGCGAGAGCTGAAGGATTTTTATAAACTTCTTTATACAGATTGGTGTTTAATTAGTCCAAAAGGTGAGATGGGAGTTGTCATCAACCTAGAATTCCTAAAGTCATGCCTAACGTTTGCCATGCACCTTTTTCACCTGTTTTTAGTCTAGTGCAGACAGATATTGATTTTTAACCCTTTCACCACCAGTCACAGACATGCATGAAGTTCAGTGAGTTCCATATATTTATTGTTTTATCAGTAAAATAATTCTGCTGTAGGCAAAATTCCCTTTTATCAATATATACGTGTATGCATGAGTGTGTTTACAGATTTCACCCATGGTGAACATTTTATGGTGGCAGCAATTCATTATGCTAGTTTTCAATCTAGAAACAAACTTATCTCACTAACTTTATCTCTCTAAGTGAGGACATGGATCTTCCACATGGAACGGTACCAAATGTTTGATAAAATGTAAGTACATTTCATTCTGCTGATCCATACACTTACTTGTAGCACCACAGAATGCGTATCTGATAGGTCAACATAATCTGTCCTTCACAAATCCATGTCGACCACTATTGACGTCACTGTTCAAAATATATCCCTCATAAGCCCTTCAAATATTTCTGCACAAGACATATCAAGCTAACAGCATACCTTACAAGTGTCTTTATTTTGGAGGGACAGTCCCTATTTTTAACCCGATCCCTGTTTGCGATCCTAATATCCCTCTTTTCTAGGAGCTCCATATTGTTGATGTGTCTGAGTGTATTACAGAGCTCCACAGGAATAATACTCATAGTAATATGTTTTTAAACTACAATAAATGTGTTTTGGAAGTCAGTCTGTGTGAATAAGATACATTGTTCTTGGTCTAAATTACATTTTAGTTGCATAAATTGTTATTAATTTAGTCACCAGAAATTTCTCCAAACAGCCCTGTGCCTGGACAGACCCCACTCACACCCCCAAAATTAAAGTGTCCCTCTTTGTACATTTGAAAGTTTGGGAGGTATGCAACAGGTCTCTAATTTCCATGCTTAGATTTGAATCCCTTGTGAAATACAGACACTAAATCTGCTTCACACAAATATTTTGGAATCATTACAGAAAAATGGATTCCTTGTAACATATATCACCTAAAAATACCTCTTGTATCTCTCATATTTATGTATATATAGATTCACGAACATAGCAGACCTCAGAATCTCTCAGATTTCCAGACCGTGTCAAAATTGCCACAGGTAACAGTTCTAGTTAGCAAAGATATACCAAATCAATACTAAACCTTCAATGATGATTATGCTCTGATCCTACAACACTGCTTTCTCATTTTACAAAACAATTCTGCTTCTGTAAACTATCCAACCTTCAGCATAACTTCACCACTTTCAACTATTCTTTATCCGCCTGTAGCTTTAACTCACTCCTAATTCATTATTTCAAATCATTCCCTGTCTTTTATTGGCACACATGACATTCACACACGCTCAAGTCAATCAGTAAGAGTAACATATTTCTCCTGCTTGCACTGTGACACTAGGCTATCGTCCATCTCATTAATTCTACTTTAACACTCCTGGTGCTGGTACTATACAGGTACTGGTATACTGGTACTATAATCACTGACATACCTAATTAACCTCTCTCAGCCTACTAGAATGCTTTCAATATGCCTATGCTATCAATATGTGCAAATCCAAATGTTCGTTCCATGCCTCCTTCTCTGGCAACTTACCATTTTCTTTGTACCTCCCAACATTTCAAATGGACAAAGAGGGACACTTTAGTTTAGGGGTGTGATTGGGGGTGTGGCCAGGAGCGGGGCTGTTCTGGGAAATTTTATGAGACTTACTAATCACAATTTATGGAAGTAAAATGTAATTTAGAACAAGAACAATGCATCTTATTTACACAGACTGTTGTCTAAACACATTTATAGTAGTTTAGAAACATTACTGGGAGTATTATTACTGTGGAGCTCTGCTATAGACTTAGACACACCAACAATATGGGGCTCCTAGAAAAGAGGAGCAGAGGGATTTGAGCCCAAACTAGAGGCTGCCCCTCCTAAATATGGGCACTTGCAAAGTATGTGAAAGCAAACTCTACATCTTGTTTTGAACAATGTTATAGCATACATTTAAGTGATACTCAGTTTTTTAATCCCACCTCAATATGTTTTATTTTTCTCATATTTTTTTTTATAATTCTTTGTTGTGCATGAGATTAACAGAAGTTCCTGCAATGCCCCAACAGCAAGTACAGGATCAGCATTATACAGGACAATTCATTTGTAAGGCACGTAAAATAACCACTGTTTTGAGAACAAAGGAGAGAGTTTGCACAGTGTAAAAAAGTCGTTATAGCATTAAGTAAACTGGCTATGTGCATAAGAGTGATGACAATAAGGTGGTTCATAATAGAAGGGTTAACAACGAGTACCTTCTGAGATTTAGCTCCTTAGGAGGCCCCGAAGTTAGTGGGATGAAAGGCAATGCAAGACAGAAGCAGAAAGAAGTAGTTTGGGAAATGCTCTTTGCGTTAAATTATAGGACAGGTAAGTCCCTCACTGAGTTTTAATAAGAGGTAAAAGGTGAGCAGCCATAAGCCTTTCAGTGCCCAGTCCATGAGCAGAGTTCATCCTATGCCCTCCATGGGCAGAGCACAGTCCTGCAGCAGGGAGGTATATGGCAGGTCCCCAAGTCATGATGCTAGCAGGCTGGTCCAAGCCAAAGACCTGGTCAGGAGCCCCTGCAGCCCCTCTGGGTTCAGCTTTGGACCGCAACAGTTGTACCTTGGACACTTGATGAGTACCAGCGTTTGCCAGAGCAGAACTTGCTCAAGTATATACAGCATAGGTGATATAATCCCCACCTAGGAATAGGATGATGCCAGGAAGTAGTAGATGGAAAAATAAAAGTATAAACTGTTATACTTTTATTTTTCCATCTACTACTTCCTGGCATCATCCTATTCCTAGGTAGGGATTATACCACCCATGCTGTATATACTTGAGCAAGTTCTGCTCTGGTAAATGTGAGTACATTACTTTATTTTTTCACGTTATATTCACTAGTACTTACTTCACCATTGGAGTATCTTTTTTGTATTTACTATATATGTCCTGCAAACTGCACTTCATTTGAGCCATTTGCGACACCTACACCATCACATATCCTTAGACGGGATTGTTCCGTCCATGCGTTATAACAGCTGAGCTCTGAATTAGCTCAACCAAATGTGAGTAAAATAACATAAAATCACACACCATTTATTCATTGTACATACTATAATGCACTATTATCATGTTGCTGTTCTTTATTTTTTAGGTCAAATGTGTATACAGTCTTAAAAGACCTCTGTACGTATTAATTTCTGTACATAATCTTTGGGCGAGGTTTCTCTCTATTTTTCCAATTCTCACTATCCACAAGGTTTGGGAATCCTTGTATTAGTTACTGCAGCCCATTTTCATCCTGTGTCATACTATAGTAAGCGCCTATTATCTTTCTTTTTACACCATTGATTACATGTTATTGCAACTCTGCCACCATATTGTCGATCCCTCACCCCATCCTACTACCTTCACCTCAAAAATACTGCTTGATTTGAACCATTTCCCAATTATTATGCCACAACAACTCAAGTTAATTCTTCTGTTTTAGATCATCATCTTCCTCCAGTCCTTTAAATGATTTGAACTCCCCATCTTTAATGATTCTCTCAAAACTAGTTTCATTAAAGAGACATAAACCATGTTCCACAACTCTCTACTTTCAAAGCTTCTGAATAGAATCCACAATCCGCCCATCACATTTCTTTTATACATTTCATGCAATGTTTTGCGCCATATGCTCTCGGGCATATACACAGATTCACAATGCCAGACCCAGTCAGTCAGAAATGTACACAATCGGTGTCTATCACATTGTATATATGTGTGCATGTATCAATATGTGTGTATATTTGTGTGTGTATTTGTGTGTGTGTGCCCATAGAGGCAACATGGCTGCAATATTCACTGCTCAAAAAAATAAAGGGAACACAAAAATAGCACATCCTAGATCTGAATGAATTAAATATTCTTCTGAAATACTTTGTTCTTTACATAGTTGAATGTGCTGACAACAAAATCACACAAAAATTAAAAAATGGAAATCAAATTATTCAACCCATGGAGGTCTGGATTTGGAGTCACACTCAAAATTAAAGTGGAAAAACACACTACCGGCTAATCCAACTTTGATGTAATGTCCTTAAAACAAGTCAAAATGAGGCTCAGTAGTGTGTGTTGCCTCCACGTGCCTGTATGACCTCCCTACAACGCCTGTGCATGCTCCTGATGAGGTGGCGGATGGTCTCCTGAAGAATCTCCTCCCAGACCTGGACTAAAGCATCTGCCAATGCCAACGCCAACTCTGTGGTGTTGGTGGGTGGAGTGAGACATGATGTCCCACATGTGCTCAATTGGATTCAGGTCTGGGGAACGGGCGGGCCAGTCCATAGCATCAATGCCTTCGTCTTGCAGGAACTGCTGACACACTCCAGCTACACAAGGTCTAGCATTGTCTTGCGTTAGGAGGAACCCAGAGCCAACTGCACCAGCATATGGTCTCACAAGGGGTCTGAGGATCTCATCTCGGTACATTATGGCAGTCAGGCTACCTCTGGCGAGCACATGGAGGGCTGTGCGGCCCCCCATAGAAATGCCACCCCACACCATTACTAACCCACTGCCAAACGGGTCATGCTGGAGGATGTTGGAGGCAGCAGAATGTTCTCCACAGCATCTCCAGACATCTGTGAAGAGCACAGGATGCCAGTGGTGAATTTGTTAATCTTGGTGTTCTCTGGCAAATGCCAAACATCCTGCACGGTGTTGGGCTGTAAGCACAACCCCCACCTGTGGACGTCGGGCCCTCATACCACCCTCATGGAGTCTGTTTCTGACCTTTTGAGCAGACCCATGCACATTTGTGGCCTGCTGGAGGTCATTTTGCAGAGCTCTGGCAGTGCTCCTCCTGTTCCTCCTTGTACAAAGGTGGAGGTAGCGGTCCTGCTGCTGGGTTGTTGCCCTCCTACGGCCTCCTCCACGTCTCCTGATGTACTGGCCTGTCTCCTGGTAGCGCCTCCATGCTCTGGACACTACACTGACAGACAGAGCAAACCTTCTGGCCACAGCTCGCATTGATGTGCCATCCTGGATGAGCTGCACTACCTGAGCCACTTGTGTGGGTTTTAGACTCCGTCTCATGCTACCACTAGAGTGAAAGCACCGCCAGCATTCAAAAGTGACCAAAACATCAGCCAGGAAGCATAGGAACTGAGAAGTGGTCTGTGGTCACCACCTGCAAAAGCACTCCTTTATTGGGGGTGTCTTGCTAATTGCCTGTAATTTCCACCTATTGTCTATCCCATTTGCACAACAGCATGTGAAATTGATTGTCACTCAGTGTTGCTTCCTAAGTGGACAGTTTGATTTCACAGAAGTGTGATTGACTTGGAGTTACATTGTGTTGTCTGTGTTTCCTTTATTATTTTGAGCAGTGTATATAATATACACTAATTACAGACTGGATGTTGGAAGTGTCTATGTTACATATTCTATACATGTTATTTACTTACAACACTGTTTTCTTGTCTATAATTTATTAATTTAGTAAATGATTTTATAAAAAATAAGTGTGTGTGTGTACGAGCAAAATATTATTTTTGTTTCCAATAAATTATGTGCTATCATTACTGAAACATTACTTTTCAGGACACCCAAAATACTGGGGCTGTTATATGTTTGCAAATGACTCGTTAGTGAACAGGTTAATTATTTGAATAAAGCGCAGCTCTCGTGATAACAGAGGACAGACATGCTAACAGCAATGTTCCTACCTGCAGATATAGTTATCCTTGCATGAGTCCAGAGGTGTGAGGCAGTTCGGTTTCTCCTTTGACTCATACGAGCAAGCGGGGACAATAGTTTGTCTTCTCCTCTCGGCACACGCTGTGTCCTCACATGGGCAGAAGAGCAGTTCATTGGTGTACTCAGCTGGCACTCGGTCAAAAAACTTCCTCAAGGCTTTGTGGCACTTGGAACGATTACAAAAACCAGTCCGAGTCGTTTGTCGAATGCATACAGTAACATAATCCGTTCGCAACTTTTGGCAAGTTTCATCTACATTGCAGGCCTTGGCCGCATCTAAACATCGATTAACTTGTGTAACTTCATTCTCAGAACCTGTAAGACAGTGGAAAAATATATTATTTAGCAGAATGCTCAGCCAGTAATAACTGCAGATATATTTAGTTTAGTATATTTAGTCTACAACTGCTGAATCAGGACATTTATATTAAATAGGGTTTTTTACACAACCTGTTAACTAAAGGTTAGTAATTAGTTATACTATTTGATTTACGTCATATGCAAGCCTGCCCTGGGCAAATAAGAATAAGATGCAAATGAGCAAATTGAACTTTACATTTTTTTTTTAATGTTTTTCTTTCCTCAAACTTTCTATTTAATTTGCATTTGTTCCTCTTAAAGTCCTGAAAATAACAACCTTTCTTTGTGGGACTATTGGTTCCCTTCTATTACTGTGACCACTGCCATCCCCCTTTGGTAGCAAAAATAAAAGTTAAAATAAATTTACTCACCTCATTCTGGCAGCACACCTCTTGTAAAGGTGATTGGTGATCTCATCCAAGCCAATGCTCATAGAGAAGCATTGGTGGATGAAATATACATGTGCGGCCAGGGCCGCCATCAGAAATTGTGGGGCCCCTAACACAGCTCAAGGTCTGGGCCCCCATGTGCCCGCCTCCAAGCCCCACCTCCAAATTCCGCCCACAGGAATACACACACACAGACACAAAAGGACACAGACACACACACAGAAAGATACACACATACTAACAGACACAAATACTGAAACAGACATACATATAGATACATACACAGATACACACACACACACTGACATACAGACACACACACTGTTGTACATACTTACTCAAATACTGACACACACATACATACTGACAAACAGACATACATACAAACTGACATACAGACATACATACACATAAATACATACTGACATACATACATACATAATGGCATACATACACATACATACTGATATACATACATACATACACACACACATATACATACACAGATACACACAGACATACTGACATACACACACACAGACATACATGCATACCGACATACATAATTGCAGACACACACACAGACATACATACATACTGACAAACAGACATACATACAGACATACACAAACACATACAGAGAGACACATACACACATACATACTGACATACACATACTGACATACACACACAGACATACATACACACACAGACACACACACACAGACATACACACACAGACATACACACACACACACACACACACACACACACAGACATACTGACATACACACAGACATACATACTTACATACACACACACAAACACAGACATACTGACATACACACACACAGACATACATACTGACATACACACACACAGACATACTGACATACACACACATACATACTGACATACACAAACACAGACATACTAACATACACACACACAGACATACTGACATACACACACACACAGACATACATACTGACATACACACAGACAGACATACTGACATACACACATACTTGCAGACACACACACACCTCATTTATCAGCCACCCTCCTCTTACCTTTAAGTTGCAGGAGGGTGGCTGGCGATGATGGGAGTGGATGCCTCTGGTGTCCTGTCCTCTCCTCTCCTCCGCTCTCCCCCCGCGCGGAGTTAGCTGGGAGGAAGTGACCGGCAGTCACTTCCTCCTAGCAGCACTTGCGATGTTTAGCCGCAATTTTTTTTTTAAAGGGGCCCGGTCGCTCAATTACCCGGCACAGCGCTGACCAGGCCCCTGAAGATATAGGGCCCATCGGGTGGCCCTAAATGCTTGGGCCACCTGATGGGCCCCGGTGCAGAT